CCACTACAGACCCAACCACATTGCCTGTTACCAAGGTTACTAGATCAGCTGATAGTCCCGTTGCATAGCAACAAAAAGGCCATGCTTTCCGTGGTCCTTCAGTGCGTCAAAGCTTATTTACATTGGGTGAGTTCGAGCAGGAAATTTGTCGCAGCAAATTTTGTATGGTAAACATCAAATATTTTACTTGTTTAAATGTGGGAAAGAATCCGGAGAAAAGCACAGAAGCCGGAGAACCAACAAACAACTCTACTCACTCTACGACCATCATCCATCATGTACAACGTTCTCCGGCTATTTTGAAAAAAATCTAAGAACAGATTTTTGTAACATTCTTTTCCTTGGCAGTTTTTGCAGGGTTTGTCTTACCTGGATTTCAGACGAGATGATTTTATCAAACGAAAAATCCGTCAAATATTTGGGAAATATTTTCATCCGCTTTGTCAGGTAATCCTTTCACATCTTGTTTGGGACGTTTGCCGCCGCATTTTCCCGCCAAAATTGCACTAAAAACAAAGGAAGCCCAATTCAAGTTCAGGTGTTTTTTCTTTAGAAATCACAAGCTGCAGCCAGTCAGCCGGGGAACGTCGCAGTAAAAAATCCATTCCTCGTAAGTTGGTGATATTCTTGATGTGAAGAAGGAAAAATTCTTATTGTAATGAGTTTATATGGATTTTTTTTTCAGTCTATCCCATCCACCTATTCATCCACCCATCCCTTCCACTAAACCTTTATATATTCACACGGTAATCCATCTTCACTTCCCTCCACCATTCAATCCATCCACCCATCCATCCACCCATCCATCCGTCCACCCACCCATCCATCCATCCATCCATCCATTCTTTCTCTTATCGATCCACCCATCCATCAGTAAGTCCATCTATCCTTTCTTTTATCCATCCGCAGGTTGTACTAAAAGGCTCTCTTATGGAGGAACCCACTCACGATGCGAGGTCAGTTCAAAAYATYTTATCCACTTATATTGCATGTATTATCAATTAAGTCTGCCGTTCCCAACTTCCTAATTCCTTCCTATTTCATTTTTTCAGCGATTTTCGCCAGTTTACAGTTGAAATCATTGCAGATTCGTTTCTACAGTTACCACAGCCACCGCAGAATCTTACCTCGGTAAAACTAGGATTTCGACACTTTGTAGAGATTTCGCACAAACGAGAATTGCGAGGATATAAAGACCTAAGGAGTTGTTTTTCTTCTTTGTCTACAGACGCTTTTCTTTCTYGTTCAGCTGTTCAAGAGAACTCAGTCTTCAAGAGAAACAGCAAGGTATTGTTATCAGTCATCGAAATAATCATTAGTACATGTTATTACGATATTATCATTACCATCATCATCGTCCTCATCATCATCATTATAGTCATCATCATTATCATATCATCATCATCATCCTTATCCCAATCATCATTATCATTCATCACCACCATAATTTCCCTCCTTCCCAATGAACTATTTTTAAAAAATCCCCTCAAATCATGGCTTCATTTTGTATTCATCGCTTCACTCCTCGTACTCAGGAACACGCTGTGTCTTCTTGCACCGGTGCTGGGATGCCTCCTGGCCTGTAATGCTCGATCACCAGCCAACGAACCACCAAACATACGCAGACAAGGTAGGTTATAGTGTCCTACCCAGCCGCTATTAGTTTCGTCACGCAACGCTCACTTYCTACTTAGGGGAGTGAGCGTGGCGTGACGACACTTATAGCGGCTGSGTAGGAGACTAGGTAGGCTATTGCATTCGGTCATTCTATACGGTAGGATGGGGAGGCAGTTTTTGTAACGCTATTATAAGGTCATTACATCATATCGGTATTGCAGTTCGCGTTTGCCAGACTAACATATATTTATTTTCTTGGTYGTTTGTTTCCATAGCAACCGATCTTCTTACGCTGATGATAGAAAGTTGTAAGGATCCASTGGAACCGAATTATCGGTTAGTA